GAGTTGAGGCAAGGCGAAGAGCGTGCCACGGTCGGAAGCTGCGGGCTCAGCGCCGGGCACGCTCCACATCGCCCCACGCCCCGGGCGACGCCCTGGCCCCACCCTGCCCCGCTGCGGCCCCCTTGCCCAGCTCCTTGCGAGAGGCGCCTCAAAAGTCAATCGCCAAAACCCGATGAGCTTCAAAGTAACTTGCGAATTTCGCTCTCGAGTCATTTTTCATCTCGTTGTTTCATTATTCATTAATAACTATTTCTAGTTTACCAATACACAATAAGTGTTATCAAAATATGCTCCTTATAAATACTTTCTCAGAATCTGAATGCAATTTTAAAATGTAAAGAGTAATCAGTAAATACACATTATATGACTGCAGAAACTCACGAAAAACCCTATTATACCACGATTGATCTTTCGTTCTTGAAACAAATGGCAGTATATAAAGATGGGCAAAAATAATCTCTTGGCATATGCAATTTCCTTATAGAAGCTGCATCATAAACAAACAATAACATTTTTATATCATCGGAATCGAACTCAGTTTCAAAATAAGGATATTTATGACCTAAAACCAAAGTCCAAATAAATTTTCTCAAGACTATTTAAGTAAGGAACCTAATTTCACTTGAAAGGTACAAATAAAATAAATCTTCTGATACATTTTCCTACACAAAACTACACGTCCTTTTTGCTACAAAACACTTCGGCGGGTCCCAAATACGAACTCAGTTTAGTACTCTTATTCTGGCATCGTTTTTTTATACCCCAATGTTTACATGCAGTTGATTAATCACGATGACATACGATAGGAACATTCGTAGTTCACATAGTGAATATTTTTTTCATCACATTGGCATGAAACCCTTATGTTGAAACTCCCCTTGAAACGGTGTGCCACCCGCTTCACTAGAGAAATATTGTTCTATGCGCTGAGCTGTAGCGCAAATCATGACTACGTACCAAAATTTGTTAACCAAAAATATTGAAAATATAAAAACTTAAGAAAACAGTTTTAAATATGTTTACATTTTCAAATTTCGCAAATTTTGTTTGTGTAGAAAATAAATACTCGGTTAAAAATTATTCATCGTTTTGGACTAAAACGACTATTGCAAAATTTCCTTGAACACCTGTTGAAGTTTAATGTAATATTTCGCTCCGTGTGTAACATAGAAAGATTTAGAAATCAACATTTAAAAAGTCAAATTACATGCAGAGAAAAATTTAAAGGGGGCGCATTCTACTCAAGGAGATGAGTAGTAGGTTTTAACAGCACTAATGGCAATGAATACAGTAGAACGGAATTGCGGATTCGGCAGGGCGGGGCCCTCTCGCACCGACGACAGCGCGACAGGAGCTAGCAGGCATTCCACGACGCGGGAGGCTTGAGGCGCGGAGGTGGGTGGGTGNGGGGGAGAGTGATGAGGCAGGGAGAGGGGCAGGAACGCCAATTAGCCAGCAAAGCCTGCTCGGCCGCATGCCCCGTCGGTTCGCCCTCGGCATGACGGAATGCCGCGCAACAGCCGTGGGTGCACGGACGAGGACCTCATCTCCTGTGGGAAGCTTGCCCGAAGGCGGCGTGTGACAGCAGGGGTTTTAAGTATTCCCTCTCCCGAACCGGAACGCTTCTTCGGACCACAGTGTTATTGCCCAGGCGCAGAGCTTATTATCGTGGTCAGGAGACCACTTGAAAAAACAGCCTGACAATGTTCAGAAATTCACTATCTGGCATTCAGATCTTCACACTGTTCATGGTCAGAAAATAAAGTTTCCACAATTTCGACTTTACACAGTGACCTTTGCAAGAAAAGAAATGAATTATTATCGAGGTGTGAATGTTTTGGGTGAGATATACGAATGACACTGAGTCCAAAAACAGTAAGTTGTAGGACGAGAGCGATCTTTTTAAACACTTGCTTCAAGGAACTATTTCCATACTGGAATAACGCGAGTACCAAACTTTCTCTCAGCTCACGTATATACAGCTAATTACTTATAAGAAATGTTGGTTCTTGGACGTGGTCGTTGTGTTCATTGGTCACATCAAATTATCTTAAGGGTATTTATTGAGCGTATTACTGCGTGTTCTGTGTATTACTGCGCATCATATCTGCGCTGTACTACAGAGCGTCAGGGATAAATAGTTTTTACCAGACTAGTCCGAGAAACCTCTACTTCACGAACGCACTGAAATGGTTGCAATAGACAGTATAAGCAAATACTTTTTTTTTAAATCCATAAAAATAAACTCATTAATTTAAAACGTTATTCTCTCATTTGCAAAATACGTTTCCTGATAATACTCCTTTTCTACTTTTTTTCATCTCTTTGACGTATACTGTGTTTACCAAGTCAAAACACCATTCGATCTGTATCATGTATTCCTCTCGAAAATTACAGGAAGTCGTTTGCAACATCCGTATTATTATTTACCCATGCCCCTTTGTGGTATATAGTCAGCTGACAAATACGAACAACATATCACGATGAATTATCCTTCAAAGGTTTGCTTCAGCCTCTCCTAGAATCTTCACAACTTGGAACATTCGCAACATTACATAAATTATGAACGTTATTTCCTACACATTCAAGCAAACGAAATCCATTCAACGAGAACAAGCAATGTCACCTTGATAATATTTTGTAATCCAGAATCGATCTACTTACTGTGTTTACTACTTTACTTACTACTGTGGTTCTGCGGTTTTTTAACGCAGGGACAAAGGAAATTCTTAAAAAAAAAAAAAACAATTATCGAAATTTAAATTACCCGAAGATTTATTTTCATATTCCATTCATAAATAAATTTTACGATACGAACCCCGAGTACATTAGTAAAAATCAACACAATATTTAATGTACTTACCGTAGGCACCATCCGATTCATCGCCAGCGGGCTCCAGGGAAAAGCGGATGTTGCAAGTCCTACAACAAAAGGAATCAGATTGTCTCATTAGAAATTTTGCAATACTGAATTGAAACGCACGACAAACTTGCAGGACAAACTCCGCAGTGTTCACCAAACACACTAAAAATCAGTTACATGTAAAAATGATTTCAATGGAAAAAATTGAAGATTGTTCGCATAAAAATGGACACAAAATTATGTTTTCCAAAACACATCGCTGAACTATATAATATCAGCTAGAAAGCAGAGTTAAATGTAACTCTCTCACACACACACACAGACAGACACACATACACGTTTCATTTCCTTCTGATTAACAAGCGATAGGAAAACAACTTCTGTTTTCTATACTACCTTGAGAAGGAACGACTCGTTAAAACTCAGGCACTCCTAGCGGGACAACCGAATCCTCTACTTATGCCAACTACAACGGCACACGTAACGTCTAATGCTTCCCTTCAAAGGCACTTGTGCCATGCAGGCAGCGAGCGTAATCTAGTGTGGCCAACGGCCACAGACGGCTGGCTGCCATCCTCGCTGTGCACGCACCTGGGCGTCGTCCAAGAGACGATGGCGACGCGGAGATAAGCCTCCGTTAGCTCCCGAACCGCACATTCCATGCACAGCGATTCATAGGGAATGGGCATGGCTGTGCCTGGTGTGCACACACAAACGAGTCAAACGTAACAAATAAAAATTCGGGATTATTTTGAAATATCTACTCAGATTCATTTTTTTCTTTACAGTATATCTAACCTAATCCGTCAGAACATTTCATAAAGACTTTAGACGTGTTCATTACGTAGCAACATATTAATTTCAGAAGAGAACCACAATGCTCTAACGCAATTACACACACCTAATCAAATTTCGGAAATAATTGTCATCAATAATACGTCCTGCATTCGTGTTTTTCCGACCACTCGTCATCGTCTGGCTAGTTGTTCAGCATTCTTTTTGTCTCCCATAAATATTTTTCATCCGTGTATTAAATTTATCCCTCATTTCGACGGAAAGCTACACAATGCAATACGGCCGCCGCAACGGGAGAACTTTTTCCAGGTTGTTTCAGACCAGCTCTGCAGTAATATTCGCGAGACTTTATTTTCTGTATAATTGGATTTATTCAACATAACGAGCAGACGCAGGCCAGACGGGAGCGTCTCTCGAAGCCCATTACGAGCATTCGCATTGTCCCGGCGGCGGAGCAGACGCAGGCGGAGGCGGAGGCTGGGCCGAGCGGGGGCGTCGCTCCGCGTCAGCTGGACGGGCGGGGGCACGGCGGCGGCGCCTGTCACCTGTGTGTGTGGGCCCCCCGCGGCGCGGCGTGACGCCCGCCGTCGCCCCCGCGCCGGTCCCTGCCCCCGTCGTCGGCACGTTCCCCGCACGTGTGCGTTCCACGTGCGCGCGTGGCGACAGCGGCGGCGGCGGCGGCAGCTGCCGCTGCGGGGGTGATCGCCAGCCAGGCCGCGCCGGAGACGCCCCCGCCGCCACGCTCTTGTCCCCTGCCACGCCCTCCGCTCGCTCACATGTGCGTGGCCCCCCGCCCCGCAGCGCTCGCCGCGCCGCGCAACGCCAAGCCACGGCACGGCACGGCACGCCACGCCACGCCTCGCGCGCGCATCGCAATGCGGAACCGGCGGCGCATCCCGCGACACTACTCGACACGGGCTTTGCGGCCGGTCCAGCCAAAGCAAATAGTTAACGCCTTATTTTATGCGGCGAGACTCGGGTAATTAGGCACACTCTTCACACAGACTACGCCAATTTCGGTCCCCGCACTTCTTTCACCACATTGCGAAGAAAGAACATATTACTCGGGCGACGAAACAGGCGATTCTGAATTTAGCTCAGAGGCTTCTTTTAGGCGTGAGAAAATTGTACATGCAATAAATCTACTATATGAGACAGCCGGCTTTACATCCCCCCTCAAGGATTTCACCCCTGACAACCACGGTTTCGATGGGGTTGAACCCGCAAACTTGAGTACAACAGCTCGACACGCTAAACGTTATACCACCGAACCCGCCACAACACTAACCTCAATTAATTAGACAACAAAAACCAAAGCGAGTGATTTGACTTCACACGAACACGAGAAACAACCCACATTGTATATAAAGCGGGTTTGGAAACGAGATACACAGACGCATGGTTAAAACTATTATGTAAAGTACCGGAAAATAGTAAATAAAGAGAAAAAATGTGCAATAATGAAGACACGCTTTCCTGCATTATTTGAAACTTTTGCGATTTAGATAGGTCCACGAAAATGAGACCTTCGCAACTTTTCCAAAGTGTTCTTTGGTGTATCAGAGGAAAACATTGACAGCAAATTTTGACAGCTTTTTTAAAGATTTGCGTAAAAGATCCTCCAAATAAACTCAATAACCATTTCATATTCTCGGGGCCTCGGGTTCGACGAGTTTCGATACGGAGGCTCATTTTGGAGATGATCGTTTCAACGGTTTTCGGGGCTAGAGTTAACCCTGACACCGACAGACGAACGAGCACTTAAGACTAATGTTTAAGAGAACTTCAGTCCAAATAACAGAGAGGAATGGTTGCACACAAAAGAATTACTAACACATTCCTGGGAGAAAGATCACCCACAATCAAGGATTCTAATACAACTCATATCTTGCATATTGCAGATATACCTTGAATGAAAACAGTTTTGATTTTGCATCATACGAGCCACAATTCCAAAAGATGATTTAGATGTGATTTAGGATTCAGATGACCAAGGTGCGATATTTTGATTTTGAGGGATTTTCTAGCACGCTTTTATAAAGATCAGGCAAAAAACGTTTTAAAATATCTATGTTACGATTTTTATAAATAAACATGCCCTTTTAGAAAGTAGATAGAAGAATATTCAAATAATATACAATTTATTATATGACTTCTCAGCTCTAATTTAGTATATTAACCAAAAAATCATAATTTCGAACGTCAAGAAAAGAATTGAAACTTCTGAGTACGCAGTGGAAGTAAATTATGAACAGCTTGAACGAATCGTCCAAACGCGCCACAATTCCCAATTATGGCGAAGATTAAAAATGAGATATTCTGACATTTCATTTTTAACACAGAAATAAACAGTCTTTTGCTCTTCTCCACACTTGTATATGCCATTTCAGCAGTACTTTCCTCGCATAATGTGCGTTTTGCATGCATGTCGGGATATTCTATCTTGCTTTTATGAGTCTTAATCATAATGTGATGACATGTGGAGTGCTGTCGCAGACTCAGGATTAAGCTTCAATCCATGTTGTAATTGTTGTATTCACTTGAGTTAGTTCTTCAATCGTATATTGTTAATTATGTGAATCAAACGCATTGCATGAATAAAAATATGCATCTTTGCAAGAAAACTTGTCAAACAAAACCTTTTTTCTATTTTATAACAGCACCATCCTGATAAATTTCAATGATTCGGGAAGAGAAAACTGTTCCTAACCAAGGCCATACACACAAGTCTTATGTGTATTTTGCTTAGCATTAGGACTTCCTTTTGCACACAGTTACTAAGCATAATCACAGTATGTTATTATGCCTGAAGAGAAGTGTGCATTTAATATGTTTCTCAAGATTGAAAAATATTTTTCAACCATTATTTTTTTTTGTTTATGCTTATATTGCACGTAATAAGTTATTATTACTTAAGTTTTCTTGACATGGCCGCCATAATGTTATCATTTCCTGTTCCGACGTCGTCAATTGGCGACACATATGAATACATTGGCTTCATGGTAAAATGATTTTGATCTTCAATATCAACTTCGTTTGCACAAACGCTTTTCTCTCTCAAAAGAGTATAGTGCTGTTTATCAGCGACTCAGCCGCTACTTCGTCTTCTCGCGATAGCCAAGTGTCCGGCACGGCGTCGAATCCCACAGAGCCCAGCGCCTCGAAATCCGTAGTGAATGGCGCATCAGCGGGCAGATAAGTGGCCTCCGCCGTCGCCGACATCGCTTCGCGTTCTTCCTTTGCTTCGGGTTCTGCCGACTTCCTCCGCACTTCGCCTTTCTGGCGGCGCAGCGTGCAGCTCGGGGGGGGGGCTATTATCATAATGAACAGCCCGACGGTTTCTCGCCCGCCCGCCCGTCCTCACCACCTCGATCTCACTGCGCCCGCACGCCGCCTCGCTAGGACTAACCAACTGCAGAATGGAAATCACGCTCTTATATAACCTTCAACTGGGATGTGTCGGTGCTTGGAAAAGTTCGCGCAATGTGACACGCTCTATCTACACTGCGAAATGTTGTAACGACGTGCGTACTCACCGTACGTTGTTGTCCTTCCCAAACACAAGCGAGCACCAGAACTCACCGATCACAAGGAAAGTTCTTCAAACCCAAACGGAAAGAGGGAAGTCATAAGACGTTGGTTGTCAAGGAACGACTTGCGTCGTCTTAAGGCACCACCGCTGTGACAATGACATAACTCTTAAAAACGCACGTTTGCCAGGAGAGACGTTTAAAGTTTCCAGTTCGAGGGTGAATAACGGCGAAACAACTCACACAACTATTTATTCGTGGTAAACTTTCAAAGCACCAACACGTCAGTAATTGGAGCAATGGAAACTCTTATGTTGTTTTTTCTGAACAACGACGCAATACAGATAAATCCTGAGACATGCTACAGCTCCAGTAAATGCGTGATATGAATTTCTTTTTCTATTTTCGTGCTCTTCTTAATTTTCATGAAATGAAATACAAGAAATGTTGAATATACCATTTGAAATATTGGAATTCAATAACAAAGTTATAATAAAACGAAGTGTTGAACACCAACTGTTTTATCAATAGGTGGCAACTAGAATGAGAAATATATTACTTTAGCATTCCAGCAATACCTCAATCATATCAGAATAGTCTTCCAACGGTCTGCACATTTTTTCATTTCTCCAGCTACTTCTGCAGCAGGAGCTACTGCGGCCAGATTCCCCCCCCCCTCCCCCAGCTGCCCCGAGCGCCAGGAATTTTATTATTCGCGTTTTATCAGAAAATCCTCGGTCGCTCTTCCCTTCCTCTCTCGGTTGGCGACAGCGAGGGAAAGGCGCGAAATACTCATAATGCGAGCGACAGCCCGCCGACGCGCCGCGCTGCGTCGCCCACGCCAAGATTTCCACTGCGCCGGGACGGGAATATCACCTGCGAGGAAGAGCCGTTACATTGAGTCAGACGCAGAGCCACCGTCGTGGAAAACTTTCATTCGGGGCAATGCTGCAGTCTCGTCAAGCACTTGGAATTCTGGACGTGTTCGTATGAAATGGCTTTTACTCCAACAGGACTAAAAGGATGCATAAGTAGGTGCTGATATGATTCCCACTTCCAAGTACTTGCGAATCGCTGTAAGCAGGAAAACTTTGCAGCTTACTACCTCCGCTCGTTCTCTACTAGGCGAAGACTATTGTTTTACAGAATTAATTATTAATAACAGAAAAATTAAGGATAGTGAACTGCTGATACAAGTTTTAAAACATGAAATCCTCACTTAAAAACCTCATGCATAATTATCTTTCACCAACGACTCTCACATTTTTGGTCCAAATCACTCACGCAATAATTAACTTTGCCACAAGTCAAGCAGCATTTAATGATATGAGACAGCGGCATTTCTATTAGTTATCAGATTTACA